ATTACACCAGAAAAAAATCTTCTTATTAGAATCAAGAGACGTAATTTTAGAAAAGTAATTTTCCCCCCGTGAAAAGTAGGTTTCTTGATATCAAAGAGTTCGAAAGAGCATTTTTTGTTCAAATTAATTTTACTGTAAATAAATAGAAAAATAAATTTTTTTTACAGTGCAAAAAAGTAAGAATAAAATAATAATTAATAATAAAAGTATAAATAGTAAATTATAAAGTTTAAAGAATAATTTAAAATACTCAAAAAAATTAAAGAAAATTCGAGAAAATTTAATTACAGTAAATATTTGAAGTCAACAGTATTTATAGAGTTTGTCCTGTTTAATATTAATAAATATTAATAAATAAATAAGTGGTAAATAAATAAATATGAAAATAAATATTCAAATTCTGTGAAATTTTATAAAAATTCGTAATAATTTCCCTGTAAACAGAATTTTAAATTCTTTATTAATTTTATTTAGCAAAAATTATGAACTCTATGTGTATAATAATTTTTATTTTAAAATTTTGAAGATGTTAAAACGTTGCCACATGGTAACGAATAGATATTTAAGGGCATATCTCTGGAACCTTTAACTTTCATGTCCCTCGCATATATTTCGATAATTTCAATAACTTTTTACTTTATTTTTGTTGGAAATATTAAAGCTTGATAAGATGAATCAGTTCCAAAAGGTTTTACATTAATTTATTAAATATATCAATAATTATTCCAATCTGAGTGCCCGATTTTTTACAATATCTACTTGTCCCTAACCATACTCTCGGATGGGTTAAACGATAAAACTTTGTAATGAATAAGAGTTACTAATTCTAAGACGCATCTTTTTAAAGTTAATTAAACAGTGAACACTTTTCCGTATGAAAATTAAAAATTTGTTAATTTTGAAAAAAGTTATAAGCTTTCAAACGTTGTCCCTCACTTTTAACCTTTTTGATCGTAATCGAGATATTTATCATTTTTCATTAATAAGACAAATGGCACATCAAAATGACTTACGGGAAATAAAAGTTCAAATTATTAGAATTATTTTGAGACATAGTAAATTGATGTGCCTCGTGTCTTCAAAAAACTGTTGTAATTTAAATAACAGAAAACACGCGCGTACAAAATTTGAAAATGACCGTAATTCGAGTGATACTCCACGAAAATCAAATAAAAGTATTTTAAGAGTACTTGTAAATATTTTCGCATGTGCCATTTAACATCCAGTGAATGTGCTTCAAGAAAAAATACTTTATTGCAAAGATAATGTAAAAATATTTGTCAATTACGGTCGACCGTAATCAACCAAAAGTTTTTAGAAAAGAAATTGTTAAGTATGAAGTTGTCGATTCTCACTTTTTTATAGAAACTGTTAATAAATAAAACTGAAGGTTAAGTTTCAATGTTTATATTTTGATTTTTTAGACAGAATAAATGATCGAAAAAAATAAGATATATAAGAAAAAAGAAAAATAGAAAAAAATGAATAGAAATTGGAAAGTTTATGAGTGTTAAATTTAAATAAAATGTATCTGGAAATTGCAAGGTAAACTTTATACATTATAATTTCATATTTTTACAATTCAGTTTAATTAAAATCTATTTTTAAAATAAAAACCATTTTAATTTTTTAGTAATTCAAACAAAAAATAAAAGAAAAGTAATGTTAATGACTAGTAATAATATAATAAATACAAAAGTAATATATTATATAATAATATAATTATTATATTATAAATTATAACCCCTCAGTTAATTACTTTCAACTGTTTTCGATTCTAAAAAACAAACACCTGTTAAATATTTTTTTGTTGCACGTTAAAAATAATTCGCAATTTTAAATAGTTTATAACTTTTTGAAGACGAATCATTTTATCTGTCCACTTGGATATTTTGAAAGCTTATTTCTTAAAGTTTATGTAGACAGAGTTTCAATACTGTGCTCAATAAAAAATTAACAAATTTTTTCTCATTGAAAAGTTAAAGGTTCTAGAGATATGCCCTTAAATAAAAAAATAAAAATTGTAATTTTATATTTTTAGTGCTAAAATTTTTTATTGCAACATTATTCTTCTGTGATTATTAATTATAAATTAATTTGATGTATTTTCATTAATTTTTATTACTTCCTCATAGAGGAAGTATTGTAATACCGAAATTTTTCGAGTTCGATTTTTTGACATATCTTTATGTTATTTGACCTCAGGAGTTCAAAAATGACATTTTTAAAAAATGTCATTCCGTATGTGTGTGTGTGTGTGTGTGTGTAAACATCACATTTTCATAAATATCTCGAAATCATGAAGAGATATTGGACTAAATTTTTTTTTAAATTGTAGATCTCACCTGCGGACATAAAGCGAGAGTACTTTCTGATATATTAATAAAGTTTAACTAAATTTTTTTTTGATTTTTAATTTTGCAAAAAAACGTTTTTTTCCCATAACTTTAAAAAAATGTTAGGACACCTATAAATGTTTTTCCATAATTTTGTAGAGTTTTTTAAGACGCATCTTTTGAGCCCTAATTGAACATTTTTCGTCCATATTAACCGGAGTTATTAAACTTTTAAAAATCAAAAATTTTGGAAAATAAGACTTTTTTGAAAATTTTGTTAAGAAACGTAGAAGTAACTTTAAAATTATTGTTATCAACTTGTAGAGCATTAAAAAACGCTTCGATTGACCTATTTTTGAACCTAATTCGATAATAAATTTCAAAATTATTGGTATTTTAAAAACCAAAAATTGTGAAAAATGACATTTTCTCAACTTTTTTAATTGAAAATTTTTATTTAACTATTAAATTATTGTAACTATTTTGTAGGGTATTTAAAAATACATTTATTGATCCAAAATTTAATCACTTTTACCATATTTATAAAAAGTCATTCATATATTTCTATTATTTTTATCTCTATGAGGAAGTAAAGTGTTCATGAAATGAGCACCAAAATTATATAAAAAAATACAACTTGGCAGCGGTTTTTTTAAATTAATTTAATAACATTTTTATCAATTTTAAATTAATTAACTAATATTTTTATTATTTTCAATTAATGTTCAATTAATTTATTAATATTTTTATTAATAAGTAAATAATAAGTTAATAATTGCCTTCAAATTATATTTATTTTTTATGTGCATATTTTTATAACAGGTCAAAAAATTTTTAAAATGAACGATCACCCTGAGTCAATGTAAATAATAATTTTTATTTACACTTATAATTACATTCATATTGTACATTTCGAGAATATTTTTTTTTTTTTTGTAAAGAAAGATTTGATTTATTCTCATAATTTTATATTTTTTATACACAACGATATCCATTTTCGTACTCTTCAATGCAATTTTCTAGAAATAAATAATATTTTTTTTTATTATTAAGTTTAAATAATAATTTAGCAATAATAATGAAAATTAAATAAAATTTAATTAAAGTAAATATTTCAAGGGAGACTTCAAGTCAACAGTAATAGAGTTTGTCGCGTTTAATATTATTAAGTGGTAAATAAATAAATAAATAAATATGTAAATAAATATTCTAAAAAATGAAAAATATATTAAAAATTCGAAATTTTATTTATTTTTCTGTAAATATTAAAAATTTTTGATTAATTTTATTTAGCAAAAATGATTTATATTAGATATTAACCTCTAGCTAAGTGAAGTGAAGCAAATACTGTTCTGCTTCTCACGCACACAAATGCCTTGTAATTATAGTCTTCGTAATCATCCTTCCAAAAAACTTGTTCAATGCAGTGAACTATCAAAAAAATTCGTTTATTAAAAATTATAAATAATTTACATATTTTTAATAGAAAAAAATACATATTTTTGCTTATGAACATAAAAATTTTAACTTACCATACGCTCTACTTTTATGATGATGAAAATATTTATCGTCTGATGGAATAGCAGCAATTGAACGATAATGTATTATGATACACATAATGCATAAAATTGTAAAACTAAACAATTGCATAATGAACGTTTATGTTTTCTTTTCTTCTTATTGTTATTTTAATAAAGTCACAAATCTGTTAATTAATAAAAAATTATTAACTACTGCAAGTAATTATTTAACTTAATATTTATTGTTTGTTATATTTTTTAATACAAATTCTTTTGTTGCGTATTCATTTTCTATCTGTATATTTAAATTTAAAAAAAATTAATATAAATAAATAATTCATAAAATTTATTTTTTGTTAGTTTAATAATTATTTTGTTATAAATATTAAATAATAAATAAAAAACAAACATTATAAATGTTTTACCGTACAATTTTGAAGATGGCAAAACTTTGACACATGTGAAAGAATAAAAATTTATGGAAAAAAATTGTAATTTTATATTTTTGGTACTAAAATTTTTTATTGCAATATTATGCTTGTTCGATAATCTTGAAAGTTGTGAAGGTGAAATATAAGATAATGATAAGTTTTTAGTTTCAAAAGTAACAAATATTCTATTTTTTTTACAGACTTTTTAAATTATTATTTTTATTTAACCTAATATTTATTAGTATTAAACAATAAAGTTATTAAAAATTATATTATTAATGTAATAATTATATTTTCTGCATTTAAAATTCATAATAATTAATATTTTTCATTAATTATGAATTAATTTATTAAAATCTGTTATTAATAATATTTATTGAATAAATTTATTATTGAATAAATTAATAATAAACATTAATATATCTTTGAATAATTTTTTCTCCATAATGAAAAAATAAGTATTCCTTTATTATTTTATTTATTTTATTTATATATTAGGTAATTTAGTATTTTTCATTAATTATGAATGATTAATTACCAATTATCAATTATTAATTAATATTGTCTTATTCTTAATATTCTTATTCTTTCTTATTTTATTTTTATTCTCTTTCTCTTAATAATGCGTAATGAAATTTAATTTTGGAATAAAAAAAATGTATAATTTAAAATAAAAATTTATTTACGTTGCAAATTATTTATTTTTGTTACAGAGTTGTTAACTGAGAATGCGCGATGACACAGCGAATTTATCAGTGGTCCTCGAATCCTCTCGAGACTCATCCACAGGATATCCAAATGGAACCCCACAAGACAAACTCAAAACGACCAGAAAAAATCCACTCGAGGTGTAAGTAATCAATTTATCATTTTTATTATTTAATTAAATAATTTTTCCTTCTAGATCGAATATAAAAATTCCTTTTCAAACTAAATTTTATTAATTCAAAAATAGTAAATGTCTAGGAACAATTTTTTATAATTAAAAAGATGATTGTAAAGAAAAAATGAACAAAAATTGTAGTGATAAATTAATTTTATTTACAATTTTTGTTCAAAATTTAAATAATCAAAAAATTGCTTCGAGTAAAAGTTATTCGAGATTAAATTTTTAGTTGGAAAATTTTTTGAGATTAATTTTTTTATTGGTAAATTTTTTCCGAAATTTTTGTTATTGATAAATTTTTCGAGATTAATGTTTTTATTGGTAAATTTTTTCCGAAATTTTTGTTAAATTGGTAAATTTTTGAAGATTAATTTTGTTATTGGTAAATTTTTCGAGATTAATTTTTTTATTCATAAATTTTTTTGAGATTAATATTTCATCATTATTGTGAATAATAATAATATTCTGAATAACAAAAATTTCCTTTGGGGAAAAAAATAAAAATAGAAACGTTTAGAGTTCTTAATTTAATTATTTATTTATTTGAATAAATTTATTCTCAATGAGCAAATAATTAAATTGACTTGAAATTAAGTTTAATTCGAGAATTATTTCATTGTAGAGAGAAATAAATATCGAAAAATAAATTTTCACTCTAAAGTAGAGAAAGTTTAGAACGTAGAAAATATTTTTCTATCAATATCCTTTTCCCGTTTAAAGAAAAAAATGAAAGAAAATAATAATAAATGGAAAATTAAAAAGAAAACCCGAGAATCGTTATTTACATGTGTAAAAGTTTGGTTTTGCAAGCCCAATGTAGAAACGAGAGTTGGAACGATAATCAGGATGTTCTGGTCCCGCGATGATATAGAATCCGCGCGTCGATCGCAGTTTTGTTCGTGAAACTTTGAAAACGGTAATTACACGTCGCTAATGGTGCTCCTTTGGGAATTTTCCGACCGACTTTTAGAAAGCGCAGTATCTTAAATCCCATTTTTCCTTCAGAAGATTTGGAGTAATTTTCAAAACCAGATTCCCTCGCTGATGATGCATTCCAATAAAATCGTAAAAAAATTTTTAAAAAATATTTTTGTCATAAAGTTTCGTTTGATTAAAAACTCATTGTTTCGGTAGATAAACAAACATGTAATAAAAAATAAAAAAAAAAATGTTGGTATATTTGGTAAATAAATAGTAAAAAACTAAATAATTTGGGAAATTACTAAAAAAAATAAGATTAGCCATTAATTTTTACTTAGTTTCGTCAAATGGTGAAGTATTTATGAGAGCAAATTACTAATATTTTGATTCTTCCCAAAAAGTATTTACTAAAGTTTATTAAAATTATTTGCTAAATTTTGTTTTAATATTTAGGTACGAATTACTAAATTTTACTAAAGTATTTGCTAAAGAATTTAGTAAAAAAATAGGCTAAACATTGCTTGGGTATTTGCTTGGTATTTAGTTAATATTTTTAGTATTCTATTTAAGTATTTATAGTAAATACTTTAAGTAAATACTTTAGTAAATACTTTAGTAAATACTAGTAAAATTATTGACAGTAAAATAAATGTTTTAATGAACAAATTACTAAAGCATTTTAGGAAATATTTACTCTAGTTTACTAAAGCATTTGCTGAAAAAATTTCAAGAATATTAGTAAAATGTTGCAAATTACTAAAAAATTGTGACTCTTACTAAAAAGTATTTGCAAAGTGTCGAAACTATTTGGTAAATTTTACAGAAGTATTTAGCAAAGATTTACTAAATTTTACTAAGGTATTTGCTGGAGGATTTAATAAAAGAATGACTGAACATTTTTCGGATATTTACTTGGGTAAATATTAATAAAATTACTAAAGTATTTTAGAAAGTACTCACTGTATTTTACTAAAGTATTTGCTAAAGAATTGTTTCATGAATATAAATAAAGTATTTACTTAAGTAAATATTTTGTTTATGCAAACAAATTTAAAAATTAATAATTAAAGTATTTGCTTAAAATAATTTTATTGATACAAATTACTTTAGTACTTTAGTAATTTTAGTAATCAGTTACCACAATATTTAGTCACATTTACTAAATTGTTTCTTTAATTACTTCGTCATATATAAAAAAAACTATAAACAAATTTACTAAACTATTTAGGAAGTTACTCGATAAAAAGTATTTACTAAAGTATTTTAGTAATTTTATTAATTATTTTATTTCAGAATTTAGGCAAAGCTAAATTATTTCATGAATTACTTTATCATTATCAAGACAAACTTTTAAAAAAATTACTAAACTATTTAGTAAGTTATTTGCTAAAGTATTTACTAAAGTATTGTAGTAATTTTAGTAATCAATTTACCTCAATATTTATTTAAATTTACTAAATTATTTCTTTAATTACTTCGTTGAAAACAATATTGAAAACAAACTTTATCAAATTTACTAAACTATTAAGTATGTTACTTTTAAAAGTATTTACTTAAAGTACTTTAGTAATTTTATTAATTAATTTGCTTCAACTAGTCATATTAACTAAATTATTTCTTTAGTTACTTCGTTATATTCAAAAACAAATACTATTCTGAAAGTTACTTGCTAAAATATTTACTAAAGTACTTTAGTAATTTTAGTAATCAATTTACTACAATTTTTAGTCAAATTTACTAAATTATTTCTGGAATTACTTCGTCATATTCAAAACAAACTTTTAAAAAATTTGTACTAAACTTTATAGGAAGTTACTGGCTAAAGTATTTACTAAAGTATTTACTAAAGTACTTTTTATTTTAGTAATTTTATTAATCAGAATTTTTAAATTTGAACGTAATTCAAGTTTTTAAAAATTTTACCAAAAAATTCAGAAAAAGCAGAAAAAGTATTGAGTAAATTTTTTTTTTCATCAAAATATTTAGAAATGGAATTAATTTTTTTTTTTGTTATTCTGAAAAGTATAAAGAATGATACGAAAAGTAACTGTATTGTTAAAAAAAAAATAGAAAAAGGAAGTGAAGCTCTTTCAGACAACATTGAGTGATTTATGAAGCGTTTGATTCACCGCGAGAAGGAAACGGATCCGTGTCTAGAACTTCTATCACGACTTTAATCGGACGTACAGATGTCAATTCAATCCCCCTTTTGTTGTCGATGTGCTCTCCTCGTGTACATTCTTCTTTGGCCGTTCCGAGTTCCATTAAGACCCTTTTATCATTTCCTCCTTTTTTTCTCATTGATATCACTCTCGATCAATCCTTTGATCCCAGAAAACTACGTTATAAAATTTCTCTCTTTAAATGAAAAAGCTATTGATATTTTTTCTATGGTACAATTATTTTTCTCGAAAACCGTGTGAAAGGGAATATTATTTTTCAAAAATTGAACAATTGTAACTATTTCAATCAGTAAAAATTTTAGGCACTGATTTTTATTTCTTTACAGACGAATCAATAATTTTAGTTGATCAAACAGTAATTTTTAATGATTAATCTGTATTTTTTACTGACCAATCAGTAATTTTAACTGATCAATCAATCATTTCAACTGATAAATCAGATATTTAATTCGATTAATCAGTAATTTCAACTGATATGAGTTAATAATTTTAACAAACTAGTTAATCAATTAACTAATGAATCAGTGAATTTTAAATGATTTTTTTATCATGATCAAACTAATAAATCAATTGTTAATGAGTTTGTAAAATATCACTATTATTTTTATTTCTCACAGATATTAACATTTTTTTACTCATATGACTTTTTACACCTGCTCAAGTTATTTTTCCGTTTAAATGACTGATTTTGACTAATAAATTAGTGATTTTAAATTTTTTACTGATGAGTCAGTAAATTTTACTGATGAATCAGTAAAATTCAGGTGATTCTCAATAAAAATGTAGGATCCATAAAAGAAAAGTCGATTAGTGAGTTGAAATCAGTAAAATTAATATCCATTGAGAAAATTATTTTAGTTTTAGAAATCAGTAATTTTACTGATGACAGTCAGTAATTTTTACTATTAAATTCCTAATTTTAAGTAACGAATTCATTAACTTTCAGTTCTCTCTAAATTTGAATCAGTTAAAAATCACTGTGACAGTCAGTGACTGACATTTTATTTCTGTAATCAGTAAAAATTAACTGATTGTCAGTTTAAAAATGACTGAGTATCAGTAAAAGACTGTAGTTAAATTTGACTTATTAAATCAATATTTAAAAAAATGTACTAAAATGTGAGTTATTTTTAACTGTCAATCAGTTATTTTTAAGTAGAAATCAGTAGAAATATTACTATTTCAATTAGTGACTGACTTTTTGCTTCAAAATTAGTTAATTTTAACTGATTCAATTGAAATTTAGAGTGCTGTGATTCTCTATTTAGAATTAGTAATTTTCACCTATAAACAGTTAAATTCATTGATTATCGTGAATTTTTAAATAATTCTATCAAGAATAAAATATATTTTTATTAATAAATCAGTGAAATTTCACTGATTTTTAAGGAAATTTCCTGATTCAGTATAGAAAAATTATTCACTTAATTGAAAATAAGAATTTTTACTAATTTCACTTCAGTCAATGAATTGTCGTTGACAAATAATTAATTTTCACTGATAAATTGGAAATTTTTACTGATAAATAAGTAATTTTTACTAATGAATTTACTACTTAGTGAATTTTGCTGATTCATAATTGCTCATTCATTCATTTATTTTCTTTTACTAAATTAAACTAAAAAATCAGTTTGTAAGAAGATTTTCTTTGACTGATAAATCAGTAAATTTTAACTGATTTTTAAAAAAAAGTCAGTCACCAATTTAAACTAGATAAAAATTTTAACTGATGCAGAATTTAAAAACAGATTAATTGAGTCAAAATTTGTCAGTGATTGAAATTAATGATTCTTAGAATAAAAATTATTTACTGATTTAAATTTAGTGCAATTTTTACTGATTAGCTGAATTACTTTAAATTTTAACTGATTCGAATTAGTGATTTATTTATTTAATGCAATATTTACTGATTCGAATCAGTTAAAATTTTTAATTCTTTAAATCACTGTCTTCTTGCTTTTGAATCAGGTAAAATTTACTGATTCATCAGTAGAAGCTTTCTTTTTACTGATGAATCATTAAATTATTGCTTTTGAAAAAGTTAAAATTTTAAACTGATTTAATTTTCATGATAAGCTGATTTTAATTTTTACAGAAAATAATCTCAAATTATTTACAGTTTAAAAAAAAAGAAAATAAATAATTTCGAATTTTAATTAGAAAACAAAAACAATTCCAGTGCAAAAATAAAGTAACATAAAACGCGTGTGTCTACGGTAAAAATATTTCGTTTCCAGACACACAACGAGACAAGGACAAGGCTAATGGAGAAGTGGAATATATGCTACAAGAAAATGGAGAACCAATGTACGAAAAAAAAGCATTATTAATTTCCCTTAAATAGGAATTAAAAACAAAAAAAGATTTTTTTGAAATTTTCTCAATGAAATGGAACAAGTAAAATAGATATTTATTTTATAAAAAGCGTATATACAAGGGAAAGTAAATAAATTCAGCAAGTAAATGCAAAAGTACTGTGTGCATATATATATATATATATATATAGGAGAGGGAGAGAGAGTGAGAGAGAAAAGTAACGAGAATTCAATGGCACGATCAGAGTACATGAAAGGAAATGTTACACTGTGCTGGTCGCTTGAAAATCGCTTTTGGTGCGAATAAGAGAGAGATTCAAATCTCTTATTTCTCTTCACAAGCAAAGAGATACATGGTTCCATTCAATTGGAACAGTTGCATAGAGTTCTTGAGAGAGCACTTCCGACAGAAACGCTTTACTTCAATTTTCTTCACTTCCGGAAGATTCTGCGTCTTTCATGAGATTGAATTGCAGATATTTTCCAGGACGTTGACTCGTGATTGGACCCCGTGATTAGACTTGATAATGCATTTCTGCTTTTAAATTGGCTAATTTACACATATTTTCAAAATTGAAAATCATTTCGAGTACTTTTTTCATTAGACGTTCAAAATCATTTTTTTTCTCACTTCTTTAATTAAAATAATTAATTTTTTACGATTCAAAATTCCCCTTCTTTCAAAAACAGTTTTTTGATTTAAATAAATATTTGTCAATTATTGAAATATAGTGGAATTTGATTAATCCTGATGATGAAAATATTGATTTTTTGTATAAATTTAAATTCAGAATAAATATGTAGAATTTGACGAGATTTAAGACGACTTAATTTACAGGGGGAATGAGAAAAAAGAAGGGGGAGGGGGGTGGTAGACAATTAGAACTGATAGAAAAATTTCGAAGAAGATTTCTTCAATGTATTATTTAAATATTGGAAAATCATGAATCGTTATGTCGGAAGTGTTCTCTTTCCTTTTTTTTTTCTTTATCGATAATAATGGGGAGGGCATGACTTTGTAAGTCGAGCACGATGTTAATGAAGCATCAATTTCTTCTGTCCACAGTGAATTCGTGCCCCCTCAAACCAAAGAGGAGAAGGTCGTTCCTGCAGCACCTACACTACCGCCCGTACCTTATTACAGACTAGTAAGTATTAATTTTATTTCATTTTTTTGACGAAAAATAATAAAATTGTTTTGGAATAGAAAAATTAAATTAACAATTTTATTTTTTTCATTATAAATTTTACTATTATAATTATATACCTAATTTAGAAAATAATAGAAATTGACAATATAAGAACTTTTTGACTATAAAACTAATTTATTTAAAAATTCTAAATTCTAAAAAATTCTAAAATTGATAATTTATTTATGAAAATGTATATTTAATCGAATTGAAGAAATTAAATTTTTACTATTAATAAAATGCAGGGAAAAAATATGAAACATATTGAAATTTGTTTTTAGTTTCGATTTGCAACATTTGGGGAGCTGATGCTTGTGTGGGGGGGTCTCTTTATGGGAACCCTCACTGGACTTTGCATTCCCATTTCTACCATTCAGTATGGAGAGTTCACGACATTATTAGTTGATCGTAACAATGAAAATGAAACAAGTACCGAGACTATTATTATGGAATGGTTTGGAGGAGGAAAAATTTTGTAAGTTCATTTTTATTTTCAATATTTAAATTACCGAATTTTATCTAATTTTTAGGAATTTAAACATTTAGACAAAATATTTTCCATCACTTTTGTCAATTCAATTATATTCAAAAGTAAGAAATTATTCGGAGAAATTCAATGATTTTAAAAAAAATTCTAACGAAAATCTCGTCAAGAATTATCAATTTATATAAATAGCAAAATTTTTCCCCGAAAATTCAAATTATTTTCAAAAATTTAAATAAAATTCTTTCCAAAATTTCAATTATTTTCAATATTTACTATTTAGATAAAATTTAGAAAAAAATTTAATTATAAAAAAAATTTTTTGATACAATTCTACGAAAATATTCAATTACTTTCATAAATAACTTTTAATTCGTAGCAGGAAATCAATTATTTTCAAAAAAATTTTAATTAATTCTGCAAAGAATTCAATTATCTTGATAATCAACAAAATTCTCCACATAAAATTAATTATTATAAGAAATTTTAATGAAATTCTTTTCCAAAATTCAATTATATTGATAAACTAGCTGTCGTACCCGTCTTCGACGGGTTTTAGTTTCTACCACTCTTTGGTTAAAGATAAAAAATTATCAAAAATTCAAAAAACCGAATTTCTTAAAATTCAACATTTTTTCTTCTTTTTTATGGCATTTAGCTTCAATATTTTTGGGATCATCAAAAATACTTTACTTATTTAAAAGTCTTTAACCTTTGGTAAAAAATTTAAAATTTTCTAAAATTATCAAAAATTCAAAAAACCGAATTTCTTAAAATTCAACATTTTTTCCTCTCTTTTATAGGGTTTAGCTTCATTATTTTTGTGCTTTTGGAAAATACTTTACTTATTTAATAGTCTCGACTCTTTGGTAAAAAATCCAAAATTATCAAAAATTCAAAAATCCGTTTTTCTTAAAATTCAACATTTTTTCTTCTCTTTTATGGGATTAAGCTTCATTATTTTTGTGCTTTTGGAAAATACTTTACTTATTTAATAGTCTCGACTCTTTGGTAAAAAATCTAAAATTATCGAAAATTATCAAAAATTCAAAAATCCAAATTTCTTAAAATTCAACATTTTTTCTTCTCTTTTATGGGATTTAGCTTCATTATTTTTGTGCTTTTGGAAAATACTTTACTTATTAAATTGTCTCGACTCTTTGGTAAAAAATCTAAAATTATCAAAAATTCGAAAAAATTCAAAAAACCGAATTTCTTAAAATTCAACATTTTTTCTTTTTTTCTATGGCATTTATCTTTAATATTTTTGTGCTCTTGGAAAATACTTTACTTATTTAATAGTCTCGACTCTTTGGTAAAAAATAAAAAATTATCGAAAGTTATCAAAAATTCAAAAAACCGAATTTCTTAAAATTCAACATTTTTTCTCCTCTTTTATGGGATTTAGCTTCATTATTTTTGTGCTCTTAGAAAATACTTTTCTTATTTAATAGGCTCGACTCTTTGGTAAAAAATAAAAAATTTTCGAAAATTATCAAACATTCAAAAATCCGAATTTCTTAAAATTCAACATTTTTTCTTTTTTTCTATGGCATTTATCTTTAATATTTTTGTGCTCTTGGAAAATACTTTACTTATTTAATAGTCTCGACTCTTTGGTAAAAAATAAAAAATTATCGAAAGTTATCAAAAATTCAAAAAACCGAATTTCTTAAAATTCAACATTTTTTCTCCTCTTTTATGGGATTTAGCTTCATTATTTTTGTGCTCTTAGAAAATACTTTTCTTATTTAATAGGCTCGACTCTTTGGTAAAAAATAAAAAATTTTCGAAAATTATCAAACATTCAAAAATCCGAATTTCTTAAAATTCAACATTTTTTCTTTTTTTCTATGGCATTTATCTTTAATATTTTTGTGCTCTTGGAAAATACTTTACTTATTTAATAGTCTTTATCCGTTGGTAAAAAATTTAAAATTTTCTAAAATTATCAAAAATTCAAAAATCCGAATTTCTTAAAATTCAACATTTTTTCCTCTCTTTTATGGGGTTTAGCTTCATTATTTTTGTGCTCTTGGAAAATACTTTACTTATTTAATAGTCTCGACTCTTTGGTAAAAAATAATGATTTTCAATAAATTAATTTTAAAAATGGAAATTATTTAAAAAGAAAAATTATTTATTTTCGTATATTTTAATATTTTATGTAAAAGTTTTTTATAATTATAAAATTTACGTGTTTACAAATAAGAATAAATATTAAAATTATAATGTGCATTTTTCCTTTTCTTTTTTTTTTTGTTGTAAATTTTAGATACGCAAATGCAACATACGAAGAACGCATGGATGCCTTATATGACGATTCAGTGGCTTTTGGAGTATCGTGCGCAGCATTATCATGCTTTCAATTTGTTTTTGCAATTTTCACTGTTGATTTACTCAATATTGCTGCATCGAGACAAATCGCAAGATTGAGAAAAATGTTTCTTCAAGCGGTTTTAAGACAGGACATGGCGTGGTATGACACTAATACATCGACAAATTTCGCCAGTAGAATTACTGAGTGAGTACTCTTTTTTATTTTTTAAAATAAAAATTACTTTTTTAAATAATTTTTAAACAAAAAGTTCAAATTAATTTTCAAATTAATTAAAGTTCGACAAAAGTTCAATTATTCGAAATATTAGATAATTTCCAGTTGGACTTAGTTTCAGATAATCGAAAATTTTATTAAATGTTTACTAAACAATTTTTTTTTCTAAATATTAATTTCTGATTTTTTTATTTAACTCTGTCTGCAAATCAGGGATTGATTAATTTACGTTTTTTGACAATTCAAAATTCAAATTGATAATTAACGCAATAGTGCCTGAATATTGTGCTTTTTAGGAAAAACAATTTTCAACAAAAGTAATATTTTAACGTAATATTCTTAATTGCTAAATTTTCCATTGTTAAATTCTTAATTGCTAAATTCTCCATTGTTAACTTCTCAATTGTTAAATTTTCAATTGTTGAATTCTTAATTATTAAATTATTGTTAATTGTCACTTGTCAAATTGGAGATGTGCCTTTGAATTTCTCAGATAGTTGATAAAATGCGTGTAATTCGCATAGATGTAAGATATAATTCTATATAGTTGAGAAATTAACAAAGTAAACGGAACAGAGTTGCAAAAGAGGAAAGTTAGTAAGTCGAATGATGCAACAGGTGATGTTAAGAGGTCCCTAAAAGCTTGTCTTCTGTGTTTCTCTTTAGCCAAGTTACGCATCTTTTAAACGATCTGCCAACCAATTTCCCATCTCAGATATTCTATTATTCTATTTTAAAGGGGGTTGAGAAATCCCCTTGACAATTTAATTCCCCGTTTGTTTAAATTTTCAAATTAGAAACTTCATTTCAGAATTTAACTTCAAACTTTGATAGTTTATTTAAATTCTTCTCTTCAGTTTCTGAATTTCAATTAAATTTATTTAATTGCATTTATAATTTTGCAAAAATTTAATAATTCATATAATCTTTTTAGAAAAAAAAAATTTTTTTATCAATTTTAAAAATAATAGAATTTAAAAATTTTAAATTCAAATTGTTGTTGAAAACACTAAAATAATTCAATTTTGGAGAAATTGCAAATAATTTTTTGCAGACATTCAATTATTTTCAAAACTAATAAAATTCTTCTCATAAAATTCAATTATATTTAAAATTAAAAAAAAAATTCTCCTCAAAATCCCAATTATCTTTGTAAATAACAAAATTTTTCCCCAAAGTTCAATTATTTTCATAAATAGAAATAAAATTCTTGTCCTAATTTCAATTATTTTCAAGATCTACTATTTTAATAAAATTATCCGAGAAAAATTCAATTATTAAAAAAAAAAATTAATAAAATCGTACACAAACATTTAATTATTGTCAAAAATATTAAAAATTCCACAGGAATTCAATTATTTACAATTTTTTTATAAATTTCTTTGCAATAATTCAATTATTTTCATAAATTTTGAATTATTATAAATTATTATAAAACATGAAGAAATCGATCACTCCGAGTCTTCGACTCGGAGCAATCAATATCTTCATGTTTTATAGTAAAATTTTTTTATAAGTTGTTTAATTTCAAAAAGGTTTGAATTTGAAATTTTGAATGTCTTAATTCCTGTGGAAAAATAATAATAATTAAATATTCATTTAAAAAAGAAATTATTGATGTTTTTAAATAATTTTACAATTAAAGAAATTCGTAAAAATGTAACGGAACATTTTTTTTGAGTAAAATTTTTTCCTTTATTTTCTAAAAATTCAAAAATTTTCATTTTAAATGAAAATTTGTAATTGACAAATAGAATCTATAAACATTTGTTTCGTTTATTTTCAAAAAAAACTTTGAATTTTATTAAAACAATTGTAATTAAAAAATTGAAATAATGTAAATTATTCCCTTATGAAAACTGAAAATTTTCTACAAAAATATTAAGAAACGGGAATATGTAATGTTTTTTTTCCCAAAAAAATTCTTTTAAAGATTTCAATTATTTTCATAAATAACATTTTTCAAAGTATTTCAATTATTTTCAAAAATTTTAATAAAATTCTTCTCCGAAATTCAATTATCTTCATAAAAAGAAAAATTCTTTTGAAAATTTCAATTATTTTCTCAAATAATAAAATTCTTATGAGGATTTCAATTATTTTGAAAAATTTTAATAATATTCCACCTAAAAATTCAATTGTCTTCATAAAAATTAAAATTCTTTTGAAAATTTCAATTATTTTCAAAAATTGTAATAAAATTCTTTTTAAAAATTCAATTATCTTCATAAAAAATAAAATTCTTTGGAAGATTTCAATTATTATCTCAAATAATAAAATTCTTCTGAGGATTTCAATTAATTAAAAAAATTTTAATAAAATTCTTCGCAAGAATTCAATTATCTTCATAAAAAGAAAAATTCTTCGAAGAAATTCAATTATGTTCCAAAAATTTGCAAAAATTCTCGTCAAAATTTCAATTATTTATAAAAAAAAATAAAATTCATCTCCGAAATTTAATTATTTTCAAAAATTATAATAAAATTCTTAGCAGAATTTCAATTATTTTCAATACAATTTTCATCAAATTTCTCAACAAATGAATTAATTCTTAAAAATTTTATTAAAATTTGTCAAAAGATTTAAATTATTTGAAAATTTTGTTGAGAAAATTCTTTATATGAAAATTCAATTTTAAGAAACATTTAATTATTTAATAAAATATTTTTTTGTAGTTAATTAATTGAATTCTCGTAGAATTTTCTAATAAATATTAATTTAAAAATGAATTTCAGTTAAAATTTTAGATTATAATTTAATTTTGAAAGCATAGCGTGGATTTTTATAAATAATTGAATTTTCAAAAGGTTTCAAATTAAAATCTCTGAAAATTTGAACTTTTCATACTTTTAATTAAGAATTCTGTAGAATTAATTTTTTTCAAAAAGTTTAATGGATTTTTTCTTAATTATTTAAAGTTTTTAGTTTCTAATACATTAAATTGAAGACAGTCTAAATAATCAAAATTTCATAAAATTAAATTGTAAAAAAAATTTAAAAATTATCAAAGAACTTTTTGAAAAATTATTTTAAAAAATTGACTTAAAGAAGAATTTTAGTTGAAAATTATGAATAATCGTAATGATGAAAATAATTTTTGAAGAAGTTACAGTAACAAAGTAACAAGTTTTAATATTATTATAAGTTATTGAATTTTAAATTTTTGAAAATTTTAATTTCTATAGAAAAATAATAATGATTAAATATTTATTTAAAAATGAAGTTATTGATATTTTCGAATAATTTTCGTATTAAAAACTTGGAAATATTCTGGAAAATCTGGAAAAGTCAGGGAATTTGAAAAGAGGAAAAGCGTGGTAACCCTGAAAAAAAAATGATTCTCATCTGTTTTCTGAATTTTGTTTGCAGAGACTTGGACAAAATGAAGGACGGCATAGGCGAAAAACTTGGTATCTTCACATACCTAATGGTCTCATTTATTTCATCGATTATAATTTCATTTATTTACGGTTGGAAATTGACCCTCGTCGTATTGAGTTGTGCACCGGTGATTGTGATTGCGACGGCAATAGTGGCGAAGGTGCAGAGTTCCCTGTCCGCCTTGGAATTGGCGGCCTACGGTCAAGCGGGAACTGTCGCCGAGGAAGTGCTGGGCGCAGTGCGAACAGTGATTGCATTCAATGGCGAGCAGAAGGAGGTCGACAGGTACTCGACGAAATTGATGCCAGCCGAGAAAACTGGCATTAAACGGGGATTATGGTCGGGCGTTGGAGGCGGCGTTATGTGGTTCATCATTTATTTGAGTTACGCCCTCGCCTTTTGGTATGGCGTTCAATTAATTCTCGAAGACCGCCCGAAGGAAGTCAAGGCATACACGCCGGCAGTTCTTGTCATTGTATTCTTCGGTGTTCTCGCCGGTGCGCAAAATATGGGTCTCACTTCACCCCATCTTGAGGCATTTGCTGTTGCCCGCGGTTCAGCTGCTGCCATTTTTCAGGTTTGTGTTTTTTTTTATTTCACATATTTTTATTTCTTTAAAATTCTCTTTAATTTATTTTTATTTCTCTGAAAAAAAATTCAATTATCAAGAATTAAAAAATTAATCTTTCCAAGAATTCAATTATTTTTTAAAGTAAAATCTTTCTCAGGAATACAATTATTTTTAATACAACTTGAATAAATACCTCGAAGCAATTCAATTATTTTCTAAAATTTTATTAAAATTCCGGGAAAAATTCAATTATTTACAAAAAAGGGTTAAAAAATTTTAAAAAATAAATTTTCAATGACAATTATTAATAAACATTATAATTTAAAAAACTTGAAGAGATACAAGTACTTTTAAAAATTTTAATAATATTTTTCAAAAAAATTCAATTATTCTCAAAAATTTTGATAAAATGTTTTATAGGTTTTTAATTATTTTCATAAACAATAACATTCTTGTCAAGAATTCAATTATTTTCAATAAATAATAATATTCTTCGTAAAAAAAACGGGCAAAGTTTTAAATTATTTTATAAAATTTTATTAAAATTCCGGGAAGAATTCAATTATTTTTAAAAAATGGTTTAAAAATAAAAAAAAAGAAATTTTTGATGACAATTATTAATAAACATGATAATTTAAAAAACTTGAAGCAATACAATTATTTTTAAAAATTTTTCAAAAAAACTCAATTATTTTAAAAAATGATAAGATGTTTTATAAGTTTTCAATTATATTTTCATAAGTATTAAAATTCTTCGCAAGAATTTAATTATTTTCAATAAATAATAATAATATTTTTCGTGAAGAAACGGGCAAAGTTTAAAAATTCTTTTCAAAATTTTATTAAAATTCCGGGAAGAATTCAATTATTTTCAAAAAATGGGTAAAAAATTTTTAAAACGGAGTCTTTAATGATAATTATTAATAAACATGATAATTTAAAAAAATAGAAAAGATACAATTATTTTTTAAAATTTTTTTATAAATTTTCAAAAAAATTCAATTTTTCTTAAAAATTTTGATAAAATGTTTTATAAATTTTCAATTATATTTTCATAAGTATTAAAATTCTTCGCAAGAATTCAATTACTTTCAATAAATAATAATATTGTTCTTAAAAATTCAATTATTTTTAAAAATTGTAAGAAAATTTCTCAAAAGAATTCAATTATTTTCAAAAAATGGTTTATAACATTCGATAATAAAAATTTTTTAATTACAATTATTAACAAAAATGATTATTTTGAAAGCTTGAAAGAAATTCTTTTTAAAATCAATTACTTTCAATAAATAATAATATTCTTTGTAAAGAAACGAGCAAAGTTTTAAATTATTTTCAAAATTTTGTTAAAATTCCGGGAAGAATTCAATTATTTTCAAAAAATGGTTAAAAAATTAAAAAAGACGGAATTTTTGATGACAATTATTAATAAACATGATAATTTGAAAAAGTTGAAGAAATACATTTATTTTTTTAAATTTTAATGAAATTTTTTAAATAAATTCAATTATTCTCAAAAATTGTGATAAAATGTTTTATAAGTTTTCAATTATATTTTCAAAATAATTGAATTCTTCACAAGAATTCAATTATTTTCAATAAATAATAATATTTTTCTTAAAAATTCAATTAATTTTGAAAAAATAGTAATAAAATTTTTCAAAAATATTCCATTATTTTCAAAAAATTGGTTATAAAATGCAATAATAAAATTTTTTAATTACAATTATTAACAAAAAATAATTTTGTTAAAAGCTTGAAAGAAATTCTTTTTAAAATCAATTACTTTCAATATTTTCAATTAAGATTATTAAAAAAACATATTCTAAATTTTAAAGATATTCTTCAAGACAATTTTTTCAAAAAAATTATTAAATTCTTTGTTAGAATTCAATTATTATTTATAAACAATAAAATTCTTTTTGCGGGAAATCAATTATTTTAAAAAATTGTAATAATATTTCTCGAAAAAATTCAATAATTTTCAAAAATTTTGATAAAATGTTTTCAGAAGTTTTCAATTATTTTTGTAAATAACAAATTTTTTGAAAGAATTAAATTCGGTTCAAAAATTTAAATAAAATTGTGGAAAAAAATTATTTTCCAAAAATGTAAAATTCAAATAATAAACATTTTTAATTACAATTGTATTAAAAACTTGAAAGAACAATAAAATTCAATTACTTTCCTAGTTTTCAATTAAAATTATTGTAACTACTATTATTTAAAAAAATTCAAAGCACAAAAAAATTTACTTATTTTCAGAACAGTTTTTATAAGATTTCTAGAAAAAATCCAATTCTTTTCAACAATTGTGATAAAATTCTTCGCAAGAATTAAATAACTTTCATAAATAATTAAACTTATTCGGAGGAATTCAATTATTTTAATATAATTTCAATAAAATTTCTTTTTCAATTCAATTATTTCTAAAAATTTCAATAAAATTTCTTGAAAGAATTCAATTATTTTTATTCAAAAAAATTTTGATCAAATTTCGTTTTTGTTTCTTTTATTATTTCTCTCTAAATTTTAATTTATTAAAAATGTTTACTAATTTTAATCAGTGACTGACTTTTTGCTTTTTGATTTGTAAATTTTACTAATAAAATAAGTATAGAAATTACCTTCAAATAATTTTTTTTAAGTATATAAATAATTTTTTAATTCTTAGTATACACAATATTCACCTTATTCTTTAAAATAACTAATAAAATTGCAATAAAAATATTTATCATTAATTAATATGAATGTTGTTTTTTTTAGGTACTGGATCGTGTACCGACAATTGACAGTCTAAGTAAAGAGGGTCAAAAATTGAGAATGGTAAATGGAGAGATTGAATTCAAGGACGTACACTTTCGATATCCTGCTAGAAAAGATGTCAAAGTACTTCAGGGTTTGAATCTCAAGATCAAACACGGTGAAACCGTCGCTCTCGTTGGTGGTTCAGGATGTGGAAAATCTACGTGCCTTCAACTCATTCAGAGACTTTACGATCCTCTTCAGGGACAGGTTAGTTTCAAACTTTTCAGGAATAACTTAACTTTTTTTTTCAAGACATTCCAATTTTTTTCTCCTTCCCATCAGGTATACTTACTTTCTCATTCGAAAATAAACGAAACAAGTAAATTAAAATATTACTTTAAACAATTACATTAAAATAAATTAATATATTACATTAAAATATTTAAAAAATATTTAATTAACAGTTAAATTAAAATATTTAAACCGAGAAAATAAATTTCTTTGAAATATCAAATCTATTTTAATGCTGGAAATTTCCTATTTTTTCAATTTTTTAAAATTATTTTTGTGAATTCAACTAATTTCAAAAAATTTTAATTACGATTTTTCAAAAACCTCAGTTTTTAGAATTTCTAAATTAAATTTTTCAAATTTCGTTAAATTTTTATTTAATAAATTTTTGAATACTTATTTAAAAATTTTAACATTAAGTTAACAGTAGTAAAAGTCAGCGTTAGTCAGACATGCAAAACTCTCTCTGTTTTACTCATAGAATTCAGTAGAAAAAGCTTATTTCAATCAGACAGTTCTCTTATATTATTCATGTTTTTATTTTCATTCCCTTTTTCCACTACTGTATTCCCTCAATTATTACACTTTCAGTTCTACTGATTTATTTAAAATTCCCTAGTGCTTATACTCTTCAATATTTTCCTTCTTTCATTTTTATTTAAAACCCCTCTCACTGTTATTAAAAAGTACAAAGGCCTCTTCCAAGAGAGGAAGTTTCTTTCTTGCCAACCGAAACTAATAGGAAAAATTCAACAAAAAAAAAAAACAATTTTTTTACCCTCATTGAAAGAAGAATATTTAATTAGATAAATCAGATTAAAAAAAAATCTTTTTTCTCCAAAATTGCACAAAATTAAATTTTAAAAAATTGTTTTTTAAAGGGGCTTCAAAATTAAAGTAATTCTCATAAAAGTAATTTTTCTATTTTTAATTAGATCTATAGTTTAATTATTTAAAAAAATTATTTTTACTTTTTTTTCTAAAAAATTTGTTTTTACTTTTTGGTTTTAAAAAATTGAATAAATCGAATGAAAACAATTTTTTGCAACATAGTTTCTCTGCATTAAAAAGTTGCAGGTTTTAATTTAATATTCTGAAAAATTTGTGTGTCGTAAACTTGAAATAATAAAATTTAAAAACAAAAAAAAAAATCTTTTCTTGGTGAAATAAAATAAACGAATTGGAAAATTTTCGAAAAAAAGAAGAAAATTTATCTTCCATTTAATATAAGAGAAAAATAAGAAAATGATAATTGTAACTTATCGCATACAGTATCAAAAGTGGGTCTATAGAAATAAAGGGGGTGCCGAGAAGGGCTCTAAGGGACGAGGGGAGGGGGGGGGGAGGATTGAAACTCGTAAAATAATTATTCCTTATGGATCATAAAAAGGCCGTTGAATAAAGAGTTCTCTCTCTCTCTCTCTCTCTCTCTCTATGCGCACGTGGGTTTAAGCGACTGCTATTCGTTGAATGTCCACCATAATTTCTCTCAAGATAAAAGTGTCGCTTGGTTATTCATGACGTTGCTCTTCGATATTAACTTTCCGCTCGTAACGCTTAGAATGCTCAGATATCTACAACCATGAATATCTATGCAACCCTCATACCCCCCTCCTCTCTTATTCTCTAGCGTTTCACATGCGTTTTTCTTTTTTCTTTTCTCCTTTTTTCCTTTTTCTATTCTCATTCACTCTCATAAAACATATCAATGGAATTGAAACGATAAAAACTCAGTCACGATGAATCGAAAACAGATTTCAATGTAATCTCCAAAATTCTTCACGATCTTTAGGAATTGAATTATCACCCCTCCCCCTCCCTTTCTTCACCCACTTAACTCACTTTTCCAAATTTTAACACATTTTTCGAAAATAATTTTATTTTTTAAGTTATATTCAAATTATTTTTTTTTCTTTTCGTTGAATTATTATTTATTGAATTATTTCGATTATTAGTGTCTGATTAATTAAAAATTTATAATAACCTATAGTTATTAAACAATTATATATTTTAATTACGTAATTATACTTTTAATTAAGTTCCTATAAGAAAGTAAATAAGAAAAAATTTTTTTAAGTGAATTTATGGATGTGAGGAGCCTACTAGGAACTTGTTACACTTGTTACTTACTTCTGTCTGACTGAAACTCGTCTTTACTACTGTCAATATTTGTAATAGCTTCTGTCTGGCTAAAATTTGCCTCTACTACTGTGAAACTTTAAGGGAAACGGGTGGGTCTGACCAAACTTTTACATCTACTACTTTTTACGAATATACAGTCTGACAACAATAAAGTCTTCTCTACTGAATCGACAGCAACTTTACAGAAATTCTATTTCTCTTCAATAAAATAATTTCTACTGAATCTACAAATATTTTTATTCGACATTTCTTTGTCTGACCACTAACGGACTTTTACTACTTAATCTACAAATTATTTATTCGAATTTTTTATGTCTGACCATTAACGGACTTTTACTACTTAATCTACAAATGTATTTAAACGAATTCTCTTTGTCTGACTATTAACTGACTTTTACTACTGAATTCCTAAAAATATATATTTAAACAAATTTTCTATGTTTGACTATTAACAGACTATTACTACTGAATCTAGAAACTCTCTAAATTTTAATTCTCTGAACTTTAAAATATTTTGCAGCGAATACTAAAAATGTTAATTAAATTAAAAATTAATCTAAATTTATGATATCAATTTTATCCAATTTAGAATCAATTTGATGCTTTCAAGAAAATTTTGTTAGCAAAAATATTTACTAATTTAAATGTAACGTTTTGCTTTTGAATTAGTAAATTTGACTTTTACTACAAATTTAAAAAACTGGGTGAATTCGGAAAAAATATTTATAAAAAAAATAGGGAAAGGAAGCAAAGGAAAGTAATTCTTTGAACTTAAAAATCTCACTACAATATTAACTATATTGTATTTCCCTTTCGTCTGTTCGTATATGACTATTACTACTTATTTGTCTGACTCTAAATGCCTAAATGGATTTTTACTATTAATTTGGAAGAAATTAACAAATTAGAAAAATAAGGATCACTAGACAGTAACTTTTCGATACAGAGTCACTTTACTATTTATCATATTATTTTTTTCTTTTGTCTGACTATAAACGGACTGTTACTACTGATTTTATATTTTATATTTATTATTTATTTTAACCATTATTTTTATATTATTTTCTTATTTTACAAAATTTATTTAAACGAATTTTCCATGTCTGACTATTGACCGACTTTTACTACTGATTTGGATATTTTTCAAATTTCGAAAAAGATCTTCGAAAGCAGTGGAAAAATAATTAATAGAAAGAAGTTTATTTCTGTAAAGAACTCACTTTACTAGATTTATAATGTTATATTTCCTTCTGTCTGACCATAAATGACTATTACTACTAATTTTAAAAAATTGGTAAATTAGGAAAAGATATTTATAAAAAAAATTAGGGAAAAAAAGAACGGAAAGCAATTTTTTGAACTAAAAAATCTACTACTTAAACTATTATATTTCTTTTTGACTGCTTTTAAATCATACTTTTACAGAGTTTCTACAAATCAGGGAAAACCTGGAAATTATGTAAATAAAATAAAATTTATGAATTTTAATAATTTTTAAAAATTACAATTATAACTCTTCCTGAATTTAATTATTTTCTATAATTTTCAACTAAACTTCATCTCTGAATCAATTTGCCAAAAGTTCTTCTAGAATTCAATTATTTAAATACATAAAATAAATTTTTTATAATAATTGTGACTCTTCATAGTTTTTTCTTATTAAGGTATAATATTTTTAAAAAAATTATAATAAAGAAATTCTTACAATTATTTTTTTTTAAATATTTAAAAATAATTTTTGAACGATAATCGTTTTTCAATTTTGAAAAATTTACAAACAATTAAAATTTGGTAAAATCTTTTAAAAATAAATGAATTTTTGATAGGAAATAAAAATTATCAAATTTTTGAAGAATATTAATTATAAACAGGACCATGATTTCTCAAAAATTTTAATAAGTCCAAAAGGTAAATTTTGAATCCTAAAGAATATTATTACAAAACAATTCTAATAATTAGTTTTTAAAAATATTTTATAATTTTTCGAAAATAATTGTATTTCTTAAAAGAATTTTTGTATAATTTAAAAAAACTAATTAATTTTTTGATGAATTATAGGTAATTAAAATTTTTGAATATAATTGTTTTCTCCAAAATGATAAAAATAATTTTAAAATGTTATTATTTTTGGAAATATGTCATTGAGAATATTAAAAATATTGAATTTTAAAAAATTAGAAGCTAATTTAGATTTTTAAATTTACCTTTAAAGATTTTTCATTAAAATTTTTGATAATTCAATTATTTTCAAAATTTGCAATTACATTTCTTAAAAAGTTGATTTTCAAAAATTGTAACAAAATACTTGAATTAAATTAATAATTTTCAATTAAATTTTACAAAATTTTAACTATTCAAAAACAATTTTTGAAAGATTTGTTTATTTTTTGCATTATAAAAATCAAAATAAGTTGCAGTTTTTTACTAAAAATTGTGGTATTTTGTTGCAATTTTAGAAGAAAAGTCGAAAAAGTCTCAATTTTCTTAATTTACCTGACAAAAAATTTTTTTCATGACATTTACCTGACTTAACTGACAAAAATTTTGTTTTAATCTGTCATCGAAATTTTATCATTTATCACCTGGAAATCATGGAATTTTATAAGGAGAAATTTGTAGAAACCCTGATTTTACTACTGATTTCACTGACTTTAATGGATTTTTACTATTGATTTGAAAGAAATTAACAAAATAGAAAAGAATGAGGAGTCAAAGAAAGTAATTTTTTTACTACAGAATTACTTAACTATTTATATTATTATATTTTCTTTTGTCTGACTATAAATGACTTTTACTACTGATTTCACTGACTCTTAATTAATTGTTACTATTGATTTGAAAAAAATTAATAAAATGGAAAAAAATGAGAAGCCAAAGAAAGTAATTTTTTTAAACTTCAGAATCACTTTACTATTTATATTATTATATTTTTTTTGTCTGACTATAAATGACGTTTACTACTGATTTGACTGACTCTTAATGGACTTTTACTTTTGATTTGAAAATAATGTACAAAATGGAAAAAAATGAGGAGCCAAAGAAAGTAATTTTTTTACCACAGAATCACTTTACTATTTATATTATTATATTTTATTTGTGTCTGACAATAAATGACTTTTACTACTGATTTATGTAAATTTTCTAAAGAAATAATTTTTTTCTCTATTCTTGCAGGTATTTATTGACGGTGTCGATATCGGAAAAATGAATGTAAAATGGCTTCGTTCGCATATTGGTGTTGTCGGTCAGGAACCAGTTCTTTTTGACACGACGATACGCGAGAACATCCGTTACGGAAATGACAGTGTTACCGAGGAGGAGATGATTAAAGCCGCGAAGGAAGCAAACGCGCACGACTTCATCAGTAAACTGCCAGAGGTGAGTTTTCTCTCTTTCTCTCTCTCTCTCTGTCTCTCTCACTCTCTCTCTCGATCATTTTGCACGCCTCATTTTCTCTTTTGCTTCTCTATATATATAAAATATAGCAGAGAGAACTTGTAACGAGAACTTTTCATAAAATAAGCATACAAAGACTATTTTAAAGTGAATTGATGGGGAAGCGGCGGAAACATTTGAAATTAAATTAAACTCATCCTCTCAATATACTCTCTCTCTCACTCTTTGCACTTTGAGGAGGGAAAAGTTTCAAGAGTAAAATTCCTTCGAAAGTTTGATGAACCATCCATAACTTTCGGTACAAAGAACAGTAAGGTCCCTTGATGTTTTATCGAATTTATTTTATTTTATTTATTTCCTCCTCTTTTCATTTTTTTTCTTTTTTATTAATTACAAACCCTACCCTCTTATAAACAAGGGTATAAAAATATTTCAAAGCTTTTTAAATATGGAAAAATTTCTATTTATTTTAGTATTTTTGTATAGCAATTGGAATAAAAACTGAAATTGTATTTAGTTGTTAAAATTGCATCTTTAGAGCGTTCTCGATTAAAAAAATTTTTTTTTAAATAAATATAAAAAAAATTGTTTAAACAATTTAGCAAAAAATAAAAAAATAAATAAATAACCGTTTCAGAATACCGTTGCAGATTGTCCTCTTAATATTGTCTTTAGACTAAAATAGTATCATACCTTTGGCGCAAAATGACAAATTTCTGAAAATTATATTTACCCAGTGGCTTAGTGAAATATGAATCTCTTGTTGACATAAATTACGAAATGTTTGTTGACGTATTTTACTATGTTTGCACTGGATTCAAACGCGACTTCTCCAACACCTGGGGCTTGAATAAGCTTGATGGAATTAGATAATGATATTCCAGTTATACGATCTATTGAATCATCTCCATTATCTATTGCAATTACCAAATATAATTGTTTCTCTACAATCGTGAGTCTCGACCGCATCGAGAATCAACATACTATCAATCAATATCGAAATATTTTCAAATTTTAAAAAGAATTTTACAATTTCAAAAAAAATTGGTTTCAATTTTCAAAAATTTTTTTAAAAGGTTTGAAATATAATATTTTACAATAATAACACCTGAAAAATACATTTTGTTCAATAATTTTTACAATAAGAATTTATACACATTCGGAATGTCTGACTATTCTTGACTTCTACTACTTAAAACAAAATTCAGTCTTGTAAATAAAAAATTCTGCCGGAATTTAAATTAAATTTAAATTTTTTCTATTTCTGACAATAATTTATTTTAAATAACTTAATTTTATTAAAGTACTGTCGTAATGTTATTACTTATAAATCGCCGAAATTCAATTATATTCATAGAAATTTTTATAATAATCATTGTAAAATTCAATTATTCTCATAAATAACAATATTCATCACAAGCATTTAATTATTTCTAAAATTAATAAAATTCTTCGCAGAAATTCAATTATTTTTTAAGAATCCAAAAAAAAATTGTCGTCAATATTTCAATTATCTTTAAATATAATTAAATAGCAAAATTCTTTGACAAAATTCAATTATTTTCAGGAATTTTAATAAAATTCATTGCAAAATTCAATTGTTTTCATAAATAATAGTATTTGTCACAAGAATTCAATTATTCTTAAAAGTAATAAAATTCATAACAAAATTTCAATTATTTTCAAACATTTTTCTTAATTAAATGATTTTTAATATTCAACTATTTTAATAAAATTTCTGAAAAGAATTCAATTATTTAAAAACAATTTTGACAAAGTTCTAAACAAATATTCAATTATCTTTTAAAATAATGAAAATTTCACAGGAATTTAATTATTAAAAATAGAATTTTTCATACATTTTTTCGAAAAATATTAATTGTAAACTTTTTTTTTATAAAATTCTTCGCAATAATTCAATTATTTTCATAAATAATAAAACTGATTGCAGATTTTTAATTATTTTTAATACAATTTTAATCCAATTCCTAAAAAAATGTAATTATTAATAAAAAATTTATTAAAATTCCGATTCGTCGAAAAATTCAATTATTTAAAAATTTGTTAATAAAATTCTACATAAGAATTAAATATTAAGAAACATTCATTCATTTATTCAATAAATTATTTTCATTTGTATTTAAATAATTGAATTCTCGTAGAAGTTTCTAATAAAAATTTATTTAAAAATTATTTAATTTAATAAAGTTTTAGATTTAACTTTGTCGAAGTTACTCACAATTGCAATTTTTAGAAATAATTGAATTTTGTAAAGGTTTCAAGTAAAAATTTTTAAAAATTTGAATTTTTCATACTTTTAATTAAAAATGCTATGGAACTAATTTTTTTCAAAAAAATTATTTCAAATAATAATCGCAATTTTTTAAAATTATTTCAAGTTTTTATTTTCTAATGTATATTTAATTGAAGTATTTCCGAATAATCAAAATTTCGTAAAACTGAATTGTAAACAAATGAATTTGAAAATCCACAATAGAATAACTTTATCATAAATTATTAGAATTTTATTTAAAAATTTTAGAAAATAATAATTGAATTGAAATTTAATAATAATGATTAAAAAAGAAGTTAAGTTATTGATATGTTCGAATAGTTTTACAATTAACTTGAACATTTAACTTTGAATATAGTTAGCACAATATTTATTTAGAGTAAAAAAGTTAAATTTACAGAAATTGTCTGGCTAACGGCGACTTTTACTACTGTAGAAAGTGGAAGCTCGGTGTGAACTTCTGTAAAAGTTACAGGCAGTTTCTCTGACTATGAGTTTCATTCACTGAAATTATTATTTGTTTCAAACTATAAAGCATAGTAAATTATAATACGTCTGATTTTGACTGACTTGTACTACTGGTAACAAACTTTTGAGAATTTATACAACTTCATAGCCTGGTTAAAACTTGGTTATACTACATTTACAAAATTTACAGATATTTTCTGCTTAAAAAGCACTTTTGCTACTACTCTGAACGAGTGGAACTTGTTACACTTGTTACTTACTTCTGTCTGACTAAAACTCGTATTTACTACTGTCAACATTTGTAATAGCTTCTGTCTGGCTAAAATTTGCCTCTACTACTGTGAAACTTTAAAGGAAACGGGTGGGTCTGACCAAACTTTTACATCTACTACTTTTTACGAATATACAGTCTGACTACAATAAAGTCTTCTCTACTGAATCGACAGCAACTTTACAGAAATTCTATTTCTCTTTAATAAAATAATTTCTACTGAATCTACAAATATTTTTATTCGACATTTCTATGTCTGACCACTAACGGACTTTTACTACTTAATCTATAAATTATTTAATCGAATTTTTTATGTCTGACCATTAACGGACTTTAACTACTTAATCTACAAATGTATTTAATCGAATTTTCTATGTCTGACTATTAACTGACTTTTACTACTGAATTTCTACAAATATATATTTAAAGAAATTTTCTATGTTTCACTATTAACAGACTATTACTACTGAATCTACAATTATATTTAAACCAACTTTATGTCCGACTTTCTTTGTTTCAAAGAAATTATTAAGGAATTAGAAAGTACGAATAAGAAAAATAGTAAACGAAAAAAAAGAAAAATGCAAAAAAGAAAGATAGAAAAAAAAGAAAAAAATTATGAAAATAAAAATTAAAAAAAGATAAAAGTAAAAAAATTATCAAGATGAATGAAGAAAGAAGAAAAATTATTGGAAAGAAAAAAGAAAAAAATGAAGAAAAATGAAGAAAGAAATAAATACGAAAAATAATTAACAAGAAGAAAATTAAAGACAAAAATTAATTATTCTAATTATTTAAGAAAATGCAATTTATTAGGATAGGAGTATAAACGTAAAAAGGCTAAACAGAAAAACATTTTGGAGAGCACACACACACACACACACAAACTCAGAGGAGCGAATGAATGAACGTCCTCTCTCCTGGAATCGTACGAGAGAATTATCTCGTTCGCGCCATGCTCATTCGTAATCGCACGGTAGAGAGATAGGGATTCTGTGCACAACTACGGGCTATCAGGTCGTCAATTGTCCGAATTGCTTTCGAGCGATTTGCGGTTAGAAACTCGCGGAGGCAGGCGCGCGCCCATTCGAAAGTGGAATGGGCATTTTAATTAACGCACCATCTATATTCCCAAAGAGAAAATTACATCGACGCCGATGAATAGCATTGATAAAGAACAGACACAGCCATCAAAAGAAAATTCAAACAAAAACCAAATTTATTCCAATTTATTCTCCATTTCATCGCGCTCTCGTTGCAACAAAAAAAAAAAGAGAAAAAAAGGAAAGGAAAGGAAAGGAAAAAAAACTACTGGAATATCAAGAAACCACGATATTATCTCTTTTTTACGCTCTCGATATATATTCGTCGAGAGAGACTCAAAATTGAAACTTCATCCGTTTGTGTAATATCTTGTGTTATTTTATTTTTACATATTTCTATTCGAATCATTTGCTCCTTTTTTTAATATTCTGGATTTAATTTATTTATTACATATTATTATTATATTTATTTATTTATATCTTCGTTCTTTTTTAATTTTACTTCCTCATTCTTTTTTTCTTTTTGTATTTTCTTTCTTTTCTTTTTTTCCTTCGTTTCTTGCTTTTTCCTTTTTCTTCTTTTTCCATTTTCTATTTAATTTTTCTTCTTTCCTTTTTTCTTATTCCTCTTTTTCCATTTTCTATTTTTCTTTCTTTTTTTCTTATTCCTCTTTTTCTATTTTTTATTTTCTTTCCTTCCTTTTTTTCATATTGTTCTTTCTTCTTCTGTTTCTTTTTTCTTCTTTTTTATTTTCTTAATTATTTTTTCCCAGTTTTCTTTTATTCCTTTTTTTATTGCCTTCTTTTTCATTTTTTACTTTTTATTTTTTTTCTGTTCTTCCTTCTTCCTTCCTTCCTTCTATTTATAAAAAATGATTGTTATTTATAGTAAATAATATTTTTTTTTATAATAAATAATAATTGTTATTTATAGTAAATAATAATTTTCTTTATGGTAAATAATAATTTTCTTTATAGTAAATAATAATTTTCTTTATAGTAAATAATAATTTTCTTTACAGTAAATAATAATTTTTTTTACAGTAAATAATAATTTTCTTTACAGTAAATAATAATAATCAATCCTAATTGGTAAATGTAAGAAACTATCGATAAGCAGTCAATTTGTAAATTATTCGAGAAAATCGACCTATTTACGAATTATAAAGCGACTTGTTGAGAGAGGTGGGGAGGGGGGGAGTTGGAAACTATATTAATATGAAATTCACAATCGGTTATAAATGTAACTGCAATGAGCATCATGTGTTTGAATCAAGAATAGTAATTCAGATATTGTATCGTTCTATTCTGGTCAAAATTCTCAGGATTCCTTCCGATCCCTTTGTTAAATTCTCAGAGGTATAACTGTAATGTACAATGGCTATTGTTTCCGGCAGGATTGGAACTGTTAAATATCTATTGAAGCGCGAAGAGCCAGTATTGTCAATAGACAATGGACAATTTTTTCCCTATTAATTTCTCTCCTCAAAATTGCAATAATAATTAATCGATTTTCATAGCATTTTTTTTTTAATTTTTTATTTATTTTAGTAATAATAATTTTTATATTTATTTATCATAATTATTTATTTCTCTATTTATCATTATTTTTTTATTTATCATTACTTTCTTTATTTTTTTATCATTACTTTTTTATTTATTTATCATTATTATTTATCGACTTTATTAAAAACAAATTTTTTATTATCAACATTTGTACACTCAGAAAAAAGATACACACCCAGAGAAAAATTTTATTTAAACCAAATATAATTTTATTTGAGTTAAATAAAAATATATTTGGTAATTATTATTATTATTATTATTATTATTATTATTATTCTTATTATTATTATTATTAAATTATTATTTACGTTTTAAATAGAAAATTTATTCGACACCAAATTTCTCAAACCAAATTATACTATTATAATTATACAATTCTACTTTGAAAAAAATATAATTAGTAACAATATTATTTTTTTGTTTATTTTTTCAGGGCTACGAAAGTCAAGTGGGTGAAAGAGGTTCACAATTATCAGGAGGTCAAAAGCAAAGAATAGCAATAGCACGTGCACTGGTCCGCAAACCGGGAATTTTGCTTTTGGATGAAGCGACATCGGCTTTGGATTTGCATAGCGAGGCTACTGTTCAACGTGCTCTGGATGCTGCGGCCAAAGGACGCACAACTGTCGTCGTCACTCACAGACTCTCCACAATCACCAATGCCGATAGAATTGTCTTCATCAAGGAGGGACAAGTCGTCGAAATGGGCACTCACGAGGAACTCATGATTCTTGGCAAACATTACTATGGCCTTGTCTCCGCCGACGCTTCAGCCATCGCTAAAGGTAAGACATTTCTTTGACTGAAAAAAATTACACACTTCTTTTGAAATGTGTTTTTCCATGAAAGGAAAAAGTAAAATCAGTATTCGTAAATAAAAAAACAATAAATGAAAGAGAAAAAGTAAAGTTAAATAAATGAAAATTAGATTAGTTAGAAATAGTAAAAACATAAATTAAAAATCGAAATAGTAAAAAAATAAAATAAAAATTACTTTCGTTCAGAATTTCTATAAAAATTCTGAACGAAAGTTCAGAATTTCTTTATAAAGATATTAATAAAATTAATAATTTATAAAAAGAAAATAATTCTGAAATTAATGTCAACTATTGTACAGTATTATATGCTGTAATTATTGCTTATAATTTTTTTTTCAACTCTGGAACATTTCATGAGTTAGAAAAAAAATAGAGACATTTTTTTGCACTCATTTCTTTTAAAATTGACTTTTTTTTTGTATAAATCGGGAGCTCTTTGTGGAGCTTAATAGCAAAAAGTAAAGGGGGAAATTTTGAGCTCATAATTTATGATATTATTTTTGTTATTGTTCTCAGCTAAAGCAACAGCATCAGCTGCAAAAACTGTCACTGCCACCAAACCTGTGAAGCCGAAACCCCCATTAAAGAAACAATTTTCAACACTATCGATGCACTCTCATCGTTTGTCTTTAGCTGGCGGATCAGATACATCAGAGATTCAATTAGAGGAACATGAAAAGCCGTATGATGCACCTCTGATGAGAATATTCAACCTAAACAGACCTGAATGGATTTACAATGTGATTGGTGAGTTTTTCATAAAACATTTTTTTTCATTTTTCCTTTATTTTTCTCATTTTTGAGCTAAGTCTGTTTGCAAAATAGCAAACATATTGTGCGAAGATAACAAAAATTATTTTGAGTACAAAAATTATTTTGAGTACAAAAATTATTAGTAGTACACTCCGCGAAAAGAATCCAGACACTTAATAAGACGTTTGAATATTTTTCATGGCGTATTTTGTTGTCAACGTTGCTTTTTTGTCTCCCCTTCGACGTCTCATGAATGACTGTGGAAACAAACATTCATCCCTTCCAGGCAGATATAATGCGTTACTGCAAAACAAATTATACGACTTAATTAGATAAGGGGGAAAAGTGTGAATAAATAATTGTTCACAAAATTTAAATTACACAAAAGGGTTATAGGGGTTTATTACTTTGCCAAATTTCTGAGGCGAGATAATTGCTTCCTTATTATTATTACAATAGTGCCAGTCAAAACTTGTCTCGACAGGAAATTTTCAAAATATCTTCTTCCACTTTTAATTATTTAATATTTATCATTGCTATATACAGGGTGTCTATTAAAATTTAATTAAATAAATAATAATTAAAACTTGCTACTTTGTTACTGTAACTTCTTCAAAAATTATTTTCATCATTACGATTATTCATTACTAGAATTTTCCACTAACATTCTTTTTTAAATCAATTTTTTTAAAATAATTTTGAAAAAGTTCTTTGAGAATTTTCAAATTTTTTTTTACAATTTAATTTTATAAAATTTTGATTATTCAGACAGTCCTCAATTAAATGTATTAGAAATTAAAAACTTTAAATAATTAAAAAAAATTCCATTAAACTTTATGAAAAAAAATTAATTCTACAGAATTCTGCATTAAAAGTATGAAAAGTTCAAATTTTCAGAGATTTTAATTTAAAACCTTTTGAAAATTCAATTATTTCTAAAAATCCACGCTATGCTTTCAAAATTAAATTATAATCTAAAATTTTAACTAAAACTTATTTTTAAATCAATATTTATTAGAAAATTCTACGAGAAATCAATTATTTAACTACAAAAAAAATATTTTATTAAATAATTAAATGTTTCTTAAAATTGAATTTTCATATAAAGAATTTTATCAACAAAATTTTTAAATAATTTAAATCTTTTGACAAATTTTCATAAAATTTTTAAGAATAATTTCATTTTTCGAGAAATTTGATGAAAATTGTATTAAAAATAATTGAAATTCTGCCAAGAATTTTATTATAATTTTTGAAAAAAATTGATTTTCGGAGAGGAAGTTTATTTTTTTTATAGATAATTGAAATTTTGACTAGAATTTTTGTAAATTTCTTAACATAATTAAATTTCTGTGAAGAATTAGAATACTTTTGAAAATAATTGAATTCCTGAGACGAATTTTATTAAAATATCTTTTTAAATAATTGAATTCTTTTCTGAAATTTTATTGAAATAGTAGACATTGAAAATAATTAAGTTTTGACAAATTTTTGAAATTAATTAAATTTCTACGTAGAATTTTATGAAAATTATTATTATTATTTTTTGAAGAAATTTAATTAAAAATGTTTTGAAAATAATACTTAAATTTTTTATTTTTATTTTTTTTTATGAAGATAATTGAATTTTTAAAAAGAATTTTATTAAAATTTTTTAAAATAATTGAAATTTTCAAAAGAATTTTAATTTTTATGAAGATAATTGAATTTTTAGGTGGAATTTTATTAAATTTTTTGAAAATAATTGAAATCCTCATAAGAATTTTATTATTTGAGATAATAATTGAAATGTTCAAAAGAATTTTTCTTTTTATGAAGATAATTGAATTTCGGAGAAGAATTTTATTAAAATTTTTTATATAATTGGAATCTTTAAAAGAATTTTACTTTTTATGAAGATAATTGAATTTTTAGGAAGAATTTTATTTAAATTCTTGAAAATAATTGAAATCCTCAGAAGAATTTTATTATTTAAGAGAATAAATGAAATCTTCAAAAGAATTTTTCTTTTTATGAAGATAATTGAATTTTTAGGAAGAATATTATTTAAATTTTTGAAAATAATTGAAATCCTCAGAAGAATTTTATTATTTAAGAAAATAATTGGAATCTTCAAAAGAATTTTTCTTTTTATGAAGGTAATTGAATTTTTAAGAAGAATTTTATTTATACTTTTGAAAATAATTGAAATACTTTGAAAAATGTTGTTATTTATGAAAACAATTGAAATCTTTAAAAAAAATTTGTTTATGAAGATAATTTAATTCTAGCTTAGAATTTTATTAAAATTTTTGAAAATAATTGAATTTTGAAGAGGAATTTTATTTTTTATATAGATAATTGCAATTTTCACGAAAATTTTTGTAAATTTTTGGAACATAATTGAATTTTTGCGAAGAATTATAATACTTTTGAAAATAATTGAAATCCTCATAAGAATTTTATTATTTGAGATAATAATTGAAATGTTCAAAAGAATTTTTCTTTTTATGAAGATAATTGAACTTTTCGGAAGAATTTTATTAAAATTTTTTAATATAATTGGAATCTTTAAAAGAATTTTACTTTTTATGGAGATAATTGAATTTTTAGGAAGAATTTTATTAAAATTTTTGAAAATAATTGAAATACTTTGAAAAATGTTGTTATTTATGAAAATAATTGAAATCTTCAAAAGAATTTTTTTTATGAAGATAATTGAATTTTTAGGAAGAATTTTATTATAATTTTTAAAAATAATTGAATTTTGAAGAGGAATTTTTTTTTTATACAGATAATTGAAATTTTGACGACAATTTTTGTAAATTTTTGGAACATAATTGAATTTCTGCGAAGAATTATAATACTTTTGAAAATAATTGAATTCCTGAGACGAATTTTATTAAAATATATTTTTTAATAATTGAATTCTTTTGTGAAATTTAATTGAAATAGTAGACATTGAAAATAATCGAATTTCGCAAAATTTTTGAAATTAATTAAATTTCTACGTAGAATTTTATGAAAATTATTTTGAAAAAAAATGATTGTTACTAAAGAATTTCAATATTTATGAAAATAATTCAATGTTTTGAAGAAATTTAATTAAAAATGTATTGAAAATAATACTTAAATTGTAATAAATAAATTATAGCAAAAGTTTTTAAAATAATTGAATTTCTTTGCTGAATTTTAATACAATTTTTAAGAATATAAAATGTAATTACATTTTTTGAGGAATTCTATTAAAATTGTATTAAAAATAAAAAAAAAATTCAAACTCAGCATTGAGTTTTATTATATATGAAAATAATTGAATCCCTGTAAAAAATGTTATTTATAAAAATCATTGAATAATAATTTTAAATTAAGCTTTTATTAAAAATCTTTAAAAACCAGAAAATTTTCAGAAATTTTTTTTTAAATTCCATTCGCCCAAAAGTTATAAAGCTGATTACAAAAATAACCAAGCTTCACACCTTGAGGAAGCAAAAAAAGAAATAAATTTGTGATTTTTTGTTCAGGATGCCTAGCAGCAGCCACAGTGGGCGCATCATTTCCAGCTTTCGCCGTTCTCTTCGGCGAGGTCTACGGCGTCTTCACCGAGAGGGACGAGGCAATGGTCCACTATCGAACCGTCAACTACTCAATTCTCTTCATCCTCGTGGGCATATTCACCGGGATCGGCACCTTCCTCCAAATGTACACTTTCGGCCTAGCCGGCGTTCGAATGACAACAAGAATTCGTTCAATGACATTCGCCGCAATGCTCAAGCAAGAAATGGGCTGGTATGACGAGGACACAAACAGCGTCGGTGCACTTTGCGCGAGATTATCATCGGACGCATCAGCTGTTCAGGGTGCAACTGGCAGTCGAATTGGAGCAATTCTTCAAGCCCTGTCGACATTGGTGCTTGGAATTGGAATCTCCATGTACTACACTTGGAAAATGACTCTGGTTTCGGTTGTGTCAATTCCAATGGTTCTGGGCGCTGTGTTCTTTGAGGCGCGCATCATGAGTGGTCAGGGTCTGCAGGAGAAGAGGAAAATGGAGTGCGCCACGAGAATTGCCATCGAGGCGATATCGAATATAAGAACGGTGGCGAGTTTGGGTAAAGAGGAGGCATTCCTGACGAGATATTGCGTTGAGTTGGATCATGTGGCGAGGGCAACGAGAATTAAGAATCGACTTAGGGGTCTGGTTTTCTCGTGTGGTCAAACTACGCCCTACTTTGGCTATGCTCTGAGTCTCTACTATGGAGGTTATCTGGCGGCACGCGAAGGTCTCGCCTATGAGAATGTCATCAAAGTTTCTGAGGCCTTGATTTTTGGATCTTGGATGCTTGGCCAGGCTCTTGCCTTCGCTCCCAATTTTAATACGGCGAAAATTTCGGCTGGACGAATCTTTAGACTGCTTGATCGTGTGCCGGAGATTATGACTCCACCGGAGTATGACGAGAAGGACAAGGATTGGGTAATTTTTTTTTTAATTATAGAAATTTTTTTTTATTGTAGAGAAAATACTCGAAAAAGGAATGATGGAAATTACAATTAGAGGTGTTATTAAAAAGTAGACATTCGAGTAATATCCTACACTTTAAAAATTTTTTTTTTTTCATTACAAATTTAAAGAAAAAAAAAATGGAACATGTGAAAAAGTTTTCTTTTTGCGAATGAAATTTGAATTTTACAGAAAGCGGATGGACTGATACAGTTCTCAAAAGCTGAATTCTACTATCCAACGCGGCCCGAGATGCAAATTCTCAGGGGTCTGAATTTGATTGTGAAGCCAGGTCAAATGGTAGCGCTGGTCGGTCAGAGCGGTTGCGGTAAGTCCACTTGCATTCAACTTCTGCAAAGGCTCTACGACCCGCTTACGGGAACTATAACTATGGATCGCCGTGATATATCGTCCGTCTCACTTCCCATTTTACGTCGACAACTCGGCGTTGTTGGTCAAGAGCCGGTGCTCTTTGATCGAACGATTGCCGAAAACATTGCCTACGGTGCCAATGATCGATATGTGCCAATGGACGAAATTATCGAAGCTGCGAAAAAGTCAAATATTCACAGTTTCGTCAGCTCTCTACCTTTGGTGAGTATTTTTTCATTTTTTACATAATCATATCAAATTTCAATTATTATCGATCATTCGATATTTTGACATTTCATTTTTTTTTGTATTTTTTTTCTGTTGATATAAAAGTAGTAGATAGCTTGTGAATATTTAAAAACAAATTTTTTTATTTTACCATTTTTACTAAACCGAAAAACCTTCCTTCTCACATTTTTTTATTTGCGCAATTTTAGAAAATTTTGCAATTGTTTGCAAATAATTAGAAATTGTAAGAAAATATTTGGAATTTATTAGGAAAATAATTGGAAACTACTAGGAAAATAATTGGAAATTAAAAATTAATAAGAAGCAATTAGTACGTTTTTGGGAATTATTTTTCAAAGTTAATAGCAAATAATTATAAATTATTAGCAAATTAAAAAATTATTATTCATAATTAATAGCAAATAATTAATTTTATTTATTGGGAAGTAAATTATAATTGACAAATAAAAAATTATTAGTACATTTAGAAATTATTATTGGCTATCAATAGCAAATAATTAAAAATAATCAGCAAATAATTACAAATTATTAGCAAACAATTAGTTTAGTTTAGCAAATATTTAAAAAAAAAGTGAGAAAATAATTAAAAATACCAATTAGCAAACAATTAGTATAGCAAATAATTAGTAATCATCAGAATTAGCACTTTATAGGAAAAAATTATAAATTATAAGCATATTTGTGAATAATTATAAGTAAATAATTAGAAAATTTTTAAAAATAATTAGTAATTATTATGAAACAATTAGTATTTATCAGCAAGCAATTAGCAATTAGTAGGAAATAATTCGAAATTATTAGCATAATTCTGAATAATTATTAGAAATTAATAGCAAATTATTAGAAATTTACAGCAGATAATTAGAAATTAATAACAAATAATTAGAAATTCAAATTACTATGAAAAATTAGCAATTATTAAAAAATAATTATCAAGTTAGAAACTTTAGAAAATAATTAGTAATTATCAAATAATTAGTAATTATCAAATAATTAGTAATTATTAACAAGTAATTAGAAAACATTTAGAAAAAAATTCCCAATTATTAGCATAATTAGTAATTATTAACAAGTAATTAGAAAATATTTAGCAAAAAATTCCCAATTATTAGCAAATAATTAGCAAAGAATTATAAGAAAAATTTCTTAAACGTATCACTTTAAGAGTTAATTTTGTTTTTCCAGAGAATTTTTAATTTTTCTAATTAATGAATTAAAGGCAAAAAAATGTGACAAATTTTGAATAATTTTATATTGTTTTGTACGTTCTAGAAATTTTATTTTATTTTCTAAAAAAAGTTAATGCTACTTTAGTTAAAAAAGTAAAATTTCTCCACATATTTTTGATTTGAAAATAAATTTTATTTCAATTGAATCAAAAATATATATGTTCAAATACTTTATGTTTGATTTTAAGTTAAAAGGGAATAATATAAAACGTAAAATAAAATAAACATATATGTTTTAAAAAAAATTAAATATTATTGACTGTATTTATAGCAAAGAGAGATTTCATAAAATTTGAAATAAAAAAATAAAATTTGATTTTATGCAAAAACATTACGTTTTATCAATAAGAGAATTTAGTTATTTATAGAAAGTTAATTATAAATAAAAGTAGTAATAAAAAAAATAATTTATTACTAGAAAGTTGATAGAAAAATGAGTATTAAAAAAATTATGTTCATTTACACAAAGTTAATAAAAATTCATTAACATAAAGATTTGTGGAAAGTTGATAAAAAATTATTTCGAATTTTAGAACAAAAAAAATTAAATTACTCAATGTTTTTTTCGTAATTCTGAATGAAAGAAAAGAGGCAATTTGAAATTTTGACTCGTTTGATTTTTGTATTAACTTTTTATTTAAATAAATAAATAAATATTTTGTATTAACTGTCTATTAATAAATTATTCTTTTATTTGAACTTTTTATGAATAAATGAACAGTTTTTTCTATCAACTTTTTATAAATTTTAATTTCTTTCAAAAAAAATACATTCATTTCCAAATTTTGAGTCAAAACAAAAAGTTGTCAATTTTTCGATCAAATTATTTTTATAAAGAACTTTTATAAAGAAATAAATAGTTTTTTGTTTCAACTGATTTATAAATAAATAAATTTTTATGTCAATTTTTTTTCAATATGAATAATTTACTGTTTTTGTAATTTAATATTTATTTTACACAAAATTGTTTATAAATAAATCATTTTATTAACTTTTTATAAACAAATAGTGTTTAACTGTGTCGTTAAAAAATTGTTACAAAAAATTTAATTTTTAACAACTTTTTACCAAAAAAAAAAACTTAACTTTAACTTTTTTTTTTTTTTAAATTTTTTAACGATACATTTTTAACATTTTCGCAAAAAAATTGCGAATGAATAATTTTTTAAATAACCTTTTTGAAAATAAATAACTTTCTTTGCATCAACTTTTTGATATCAAAAATAATCTTTTTGAAAATAAATAACTTTTTTGTATCAACTTTCTATGAATAATTTTTTTTTGTATTTACAGAACGAAAAAATAAAAACAATTAATTTCTCTAAATTTTGAAGAAAAAAAAAATATTTTCCAATCGCTGGTCAATAAATATTTTTCAAATTGAACTTTTTTCGTAAACAGATAAAAGAAAGAGTAAAGAATATTATTCCCAGTGGTAAATTTTAGAAATTCATTCTTTAGGATTTTTACACATTTTTGAATAATTTAATCATAAAAAAGGAAGAAGGAATTTTTCATTGACCCGGGAAATATTTTCCCCCGGGGGTGAAAATATTGAAAAAAAACAAATTTTCCCTTCATACTTAATCTGAGATGGAAGGATTTGGTTTAAGTGAATTTTGGAAAAAGGATATTGAGATGGAGAATATTTTGATTATTATCGACAATCGAGTTTAGAAAAGGGATTTTTATAATAAATTTTTTTTTCGTTACAGGGTTATGATACGAGATTAGGTACCAAGGGAACTCAACTATCCGGCGGGCAAAAGCAACGAATCGCTATTGCACGTGCTTTGGTCAGAAATCCTCGAGTTCTGCTGTTGGATGAAGCCACTTCTGCGCTTGATACACAAAGTGAAAAGGTGAGTCAACAATTTTTAAATTGGGAAATGTTTGATCCTCTTTGGGAAAAGAGCACGTATCACTGAATTTTGTCATAGACGCGCGACACGAGTATAAAATTTTTCGATTATCGTAACATTCAAGCCAATTTGAAATAACGAATAAAATTCCCTCTCGCTCTCTCTCCAGCATTCTCTCTTGTTTTAGTAATAGTTAATTATCCGCTCGTCTTAATTGGCAGTAATTTGTGAAACAAATCACTAGCCATAATCATTTTGAGATACAATTTATAGTCTATACATTGAGGTAGTTCTCCTATTTCTCCCTCTTCTCTCCTCTCTCTTTACACTCCACTGAGGCTTAAACGGAAAACCACTTAATGTCATTATTCTAATGAACACGAATTAGTGCTAATGTATTTACTGTGCTGTACGTGGACTAAATCGAGGATTCATTCCATTCACGGTAACTGCGTTCTTTAATCAGTATTCAAGTGATTCATCGACCAACAATTATGCGTTAACGTTCCGAATGTAGCTTTACTAATCTAATTTGTTCTATTTTGCTTGTATTTCGCAAAGGAAATTGATACGCGGAAAAAAATTAATAAAGTTGCATTCAGTTTTTTTTTAAATTTCATATCGATTTTCGGTTAAAAAAGGTTGAAAAGGTGGATTATTTAATCAGGGTGGCCGCTGGACTGGGAAAACCGGGAAGTAACAGTAAATTTTAATCTTGACCGGAATTTTGAAAATTTTTTTTTCTAAAAACACTGATTATTTTTTGATAAAAAATAGAAATATTTATTTTAAGACTTATTAATTATATTTCATTAAAAAAGATTGAATGATCTTCTATAAAATCGTTTTATTTTGTCTGGAAACTTTATCAAAAGTAACTATAAAATTATACAATTTCTAGAATTTAGAAGAAAATGATGAATTTCGTTGTCCAACGTAACAGACTTAAAAAAAATATTAAATTGAATTTTAAATTCTTTCTATTTCTAACAATAATTAAACAAAATTTAATTTTGTAATTAAATTCGTTGAAAAAATTTGAAAGAGAAAAAATTTCACATTCTATAAAATAGTGAAAAATAAATCAATTTAAAAAATTTTTTTTTGCAATAATATTATAACAAAACAAATTTGAATTAGTAAAAACTTTAATTAATTAGAACAAAAGTGATACGAAATGTATTAAAATTAATTTTTAAATAATAAATAGAGCAAAAAAAAAAAAAAAATAAATAAAAATAAATAAAATTTCTTTTCTTAGAATATAAATTTTTAAAAACCGTATTTTGCAATAACATCAATTCGTTTTTATTCGTTACAATATAATTCTTCGAAACGATTCAATTATTTTTTTAAATTTTCGGTAAAATTTTCCGCAAGAATTCAGTTTGTTTACAAATAACAAAATTCTACACAGGAATTTGATTATTTTTAAAAACTTTAGAAATATTTTTGTTAAAAATTCAATTATCCTCAAAATTCTTCGAAAGAATTCAATTATTTTCAATAAATTGGGGTAATTTTTTTTAAGAATGCAATTATTTTTAATTAAATTGTAATTAAATTCCATAATGTTAATATAATTATTCGTAGAAATTTAATAATTTTCAAAAAATGGAATTAAAATTCTTGGAAAGAATTAAATTTTCTTCATAAATAACAAAATTCTAAACAGGAATTTAATTATTTTTTAAAAACTTTAATAATATTCTTGTCAAAAATTCAATTATCTTCAAAAAGTATAAAATTTTTCGAGGAAATTCAATTATTTTCAAGAATTTTAATAAACATTCTCAACAAGATCCAATTATTTATAAAAATTTTAATGAAATTCTACGAAAGAATTCAATTATTTTTAGAAATTAAATGACATTCTACGAAAGAATTCAATAAATTTAAAATAAATTTGGTACATTTTTTTAAGAATTCAATTCTTTTGATATATTTCTTTAACAAAATTGAATTATTTACAAAAATTTTATTAAAATTTTTGTCAAAAATTCAATTATCTTCATAACTAATAAAATTCTTCGTAGAAATTCAATTATTTTCAAAATTTTTTATTAAATTTCTCAACAAGTTTCAATCATAAAATAAAAATAAAATAAATAATAAATAAATAAAATTTTTTTTTAAGAATTAAATAATCAATTAAAAATTCAATAATCTTCATAAAGTATAAAATTTTCCGAGGAAATTCAATTATTTTCAAGAATTTTAATAAAATTTTACAAGATCCAATAATTTATAATAATTTTAATTGAAATTCTAAGGAAGAATTAAATTATTTTCTATAATTTGGGTTAAGTTTTTTTTTTAAGAATTCAATTACTTTTTTTAATTAAATTGTAATTGAATTCCATAATGTTAACATAATTATTCGTAGAAATTTAATAATTTTCAAAAATTTTCTTCATAAATAACAAAATTCTTTGCAGAAATTAAAATTGGCTAGAATTCAATTATTTTATAAATAACAAAATTTTTCGCAGAATTCAATTCTTTTCAAGAATTTTGATAAAATTTAATATAATAATTGTAATAATAAAATAAAATTTCAAAAACAATTATATTTATAAAATGCAGCATTTTAATTGAATTTAAAGGAAAAAATTGAAATAAAATAGAAAGTAAAGAAAATATGCAAAGAAAGAAAATTTTTTATTTGTAACACCCTTACAGAGGTCAAGTAAATAAGAATATAAATTAATATAATCAAGTAAAGAAAAACGAAAATAAAAAGATTAAAGAAAGGAAATATAAAAATTAAAGAGAAGGGAAATTAAAAAACGAAAAACTAAAGAAAATAGAGAAAATGAAGGAAAAACAAAATGAACAAAATAAAGTTAATAAAATAAAAAAAAATAATAAATCATTTATAGTAAAGATAAAAAAAGAATAAATAAAATAATAATTAAAATAAAACAAAAAATAAAAAATGCTTCGAAGAAGATTTATGTGACATTAAAATTTCATCGGATCATTATTTGTTTGGCGTAATTTATAATTTGTGGATAATATTTCCTTTAAATGAACGTTTTTTGCCTCGTTTTAAAGAGAAGGAGAGAAAGAGGAGAGAAGCCATGCGAGGTAACAAAGAGAAGAATGTATGGAGAGAAAGAGTGAGAGAGAGAGAGAAAGCTATTTTACTCCACTTTTATGAAACATCCCCCATTAAACATCTCATATAACTCGAAAACAGAAATAAAATTGAGGTTAGTTTAACGTCCGCAAAAAATGCATAAAAGCTTTATTGTTGTAAAAGCAAAAGAATAACTTTATGTTTGAGGTTAAAATCTTTATGGGAACTTGTTAAAATGTTAATTTCCTCTCGTGGAATAATGTCCAAAAAATACATCTTTCTGATGTTATTTCGAAATTTTCTTTATATTCGATTTTTATTGCTTTTGTTTAGTATTTTTTTTTATTTTTTTATTTCACTGTTGGTAATAGTAGTAGCAGTAAGTTTCAGTCAGACGAAAATCGTTTAATTAGTAGTAAAAGTAAGTTTAGTCAGACTTGATAGTTTTTTACTACTTAAAAGTGTCTGACTCGACATATATTTTACTACTTAAAAGTGTCTGACTAAACAGATATATTTTACTACTTAAAAGTGTCTGACTCGACATATACTTTACTACTTAAAAGTGTCTGACTAAACAGATATATTTTACTACTTAAAAGTGTCTGACTATTTTACTACTTAAAAGTGTCTGACTCGACATATATTTTACTACTTAAAAGTGTCTGACTAAACAGATATATTTTGCTACTTAAAAGTGTCTGACTCGACATATACTTTACTACTTAAAAGTGTCTGACTAAACAGATATATTTTACTACTTAAAAGTGTCTGACTAAACAGATATATTTTACTACTTAAAAGTGTCTGACTATTTTACTACTTAAAAGTGTCTGACTCGACATATATTTTACTACTTAAAAGTGTCTGACTCGACATATATTTTACTACTTAAAGTGTCTGACTTAACATATATTTTACTACTTAAAACATCTGATTAAACATTGTTTACAACTAAAAATAAATAAAAGGAAAAAAAATCAAATAAGGTTCGACTAAACGTATATTTCACTACTTAAAATTGTCTGACTAAAGAAATACTTTACTACTTAAAACATCTGACTATATACATATTCTTTGCAACTAAAAACAAATAAAATAAAAAAAGTCAAATAAAGTCTGACTAAACCTACATTTTACTACTTAGAACATCTGATTAAATATTTTTAGAACTAAAACAAATTCATTACTAAACTATTTTTTACTACTAAAATATATAATATAAAAAATTTACTAATTATTAATATTATGAATTCATAATTATTATTACTATTTTTACATTGAAATTAATAATAATAACAATAATAATAGTAAAAATAATAATAAATTTTCCGAATGTTAAATTTCTAATTTCGATTATTGTTTCGGTGGTAATTAAGAGACAATTGGAAAATTCCCCTCGTAATTATTCTAGCTTTTTTTCCATCTAATCTTGTAGAAAAAAAATTCCTTTTTCCCCATTTCATTGTGTGAAGAGGGAAATATGTTTGAGAGATAAGAAGACGGGGGAGTTAATAAAAATAGAGAATCAGAGTCTTTCGATAAAGTAGGCTTTATGAGATATCAATAAGTTGTCAGGAGGATCATAAGAAATGAAGGAAAAGTAAACATAGGATTACAACGATCCGATGAAGGGTCTTAGGGGGATTTACTAGGCGGATAGATATAGTTGGAAAGGTGTTTTCTTCGTTGCTGAGTTAATAAATCTGTAGGAAAAGCAAGAACGAGTATTTTTTCTTCTCTTCTTTACTTCAGTGTATAGTACTTGAAATAAAATTTAAAAAATATTTCAGTATGAATATTTAACGATATTCTCGTATCATTATTCGAATATTTCTATTTTATTTCTTCTTCTTTTTTTTTTGTTTTTTTATTTGAGAAAGAAAATTATAACTGAATAAATATATTGACGATAATT